GCTCCTCTGTGCAGCAGAAATGTATGTATTGCTGTTTGATCTTTCCCATATTGTAGCATTTCTTCTCTTTTTCTTCCTGTGCAAGAGCTCCCTCTGCTTGAAAATGGTAGTTTTAGTTTAGTTATGACTTTTAATAAAATTATTTTGCTTCACTATATGATTTTATACTCCTTTTTCTGTGTCTTAATTAGATTTTATCAGATTTGTTTGTTTTGTAATAGCAGACTGACCTCAGAATCTGGATACTAAATCACTTGACTCCTTCTTCAACCCAAAATAATAACTTTTTTTAAAAAGGCAACTTCTGTTCAGATAGAACCCTTGGAAAACCACATTAAATAGCATGTGTCATTGACTATTATTCCTTACTCTTTCTCGCTCTAAGAGAACAAGGTCAATATTTTTATTGGCAAACGTGCAAATCATGTAATGAGCAGGGACAATAAAATCCCACACTTGTCACTCATTTGTCTGGAAACTAGGCCTGAATTTTTGGTGATAGTGCCTAATTCTTTAGTGACAGGCGCATGTTTCTTTCCCAGATTGAATCCAGCCGAGATCAAATAAGCTATGTTGGACCAATTAGTTTATACAAGGGCCCAGAAAGGCTTGTATAATACTGACTTGGTGTCATTTTAATGCTAAGCAAATATTGTCACCACCCTGCTCTTAGCTTTAAGGGGTTTTTCTTTACTCCCTGTGAATTGTTTTATGTTGCCTTTATATTTTACTTTTTCCACTTTAAACATAAATTTGTTTCTTGTTGTGACTACCCAAACAACTCCGTTATGGGAAACTATAAAAACTTTTGGTGAAATAAAAGTAAGACAACTTTAGAAAATATCACTCCACGATGTACTGTGGAATGAGATTGCAGATCGTGGCAAAGCATCATGGTGAATGCCATTTTGGATTGCATAGTTATCAGTTTATTGACCTCAGAGGGTCTCCTAAGAGATACAAAAGTAAATCAATGAAGCGTGCTACCTTCAGTCAGCTCCAAAGCCCAGATTAATTGCTATTTCTAAAACTACAAAACTCTATACAGGAGCAACCAAAGACACATCTTTCCTCTTAGCCGTACATCATTGGAAGAGAACGTGGCACATGTGCTTCGTCACTGGCATGCATGACACAATACAAGTCTCCATAGTTACACTCTAGGCATTAATCATAGCTCTGTGCATTTAATCCTTGCACTGCATTGCATTTCTACACCGCACACAGAGTTTAAATTACAAACAATATTTCATCACATTTAAACCACAGTACTGACAATAGTTGCCAAGCTTTCTCTCACCAGGGGTCTGTGCAGTTTGCATGGACTTTGGGGAAAAGCAGGAATACCAGATAGCTAGAAATGAAATATTTGGCTAATGCAGTGGTTCCCAATCTTTGGTCATCCAGATGTTTTGGACTTCAACTCCCAGAAATCCCAGCCAGTTTACCAGCTGTTAGGAATTGTGGGAGCTGAAGTTCAAAAGACCTGGAGGACCAAAGGTTGGGAACTACTGAGCTAAGGGATGAGACTACAGAAATCTGACAGCAGGCTTCCCTTTGCTCAGGTGTGGACTATTTGAACCAACCCAGCTTCCTTTGAAACTGGAACTGGAACCCTGCCCTCCCTCTATTGTGGTGGCTTTAGACTTCATATTATTTGTATTTTCTCAAACTTTGTTCACTCCCCCCCCCCCCGGTATCTGGAATGAGATGGAAGAAGTAGGCATTATATGCCCATCACAAACTTTTTTTATTAAATAATCTTTATTTGACTTAAAATCAGGATGCATTTTTATAATAATAAATAAAAAAAGAAAAGAAGGGGTACAGGAAAGTCAATAGCTTTGGATGGGGATGTGGAATAGAGAAGAGACAGTGAGGGATTTAAAACAGGTAATAATGTAGACTTTTTGACCTCCCAGTATCTTCTGTGAGGTTCTTTCCTTTTCCTTTCTTTCTTATTTATTCTTTCTTATCTTATTCTCCCTCTTTTCATATTATCCACCTTTCTCCTTTTATGTAATCATTTTCATTTTTTTTTCTTTTATTAAATATTTTGTTTCTTGTTTCCAATCTGTATCTGCCTTGGCGTGCCCTTCTTTTTAGATAATAGATGTGTCAATTTGTCCATATTTCTTATGTCTAAAATTTTGTCAGCCATTCCTTTTCTTCTGGGGGGGGGGGTCTTCTTTTTTCCAGTGTTTTGCGTATACTATTCTGGCTGTCGTTGTTAATAAGAATAGTATTTTATCTTTATTTTTGTCAATTTTTAAATTATGTATTCCAAGTAGGAGAGTTTCTGGTGTCCTAGGAATGTCTATTTCAAATATTTCTTGTAGTGCTTTTTGGATCTTCTTCCAATAGTTTGTTGCTTTATTACATGTCCACCATAGATGGTAATATGTTCCTTCAATTTCTCCACATTTCCAACACTTCGAATTGGCGTTTTTACAGTATTTTCCTAATTTATGTTGAGTTATATACCATCTATGGGCCATTTTGATCCAGTTTTCTTTTAGTTCCATTGTGCTTGTGTATTTTAATTTCTTGTTCCATATCTCTTCCCATTCCTCTTTTTTATTGTTTTTCCTATATTTTTCTCCATCTCTTCATGTAGGCTTTCTCTTCTTCTTTGCCTCCTGTCTCTTCTAGGAGTTTTTTGTATAATTTAGAAGTCAATTTACTTTCAGTTTGCATTATTTTGTCCCAGAAATTTTCCTTATCTTTGAATCTCTTTTCTTTTTCTTTTTGAAGTGTTCTTTAATCTGCCAATATTGATACCAAGACATTTAGTATTTTTTCTTTTTCCAGTTTTGCCCAGTCCCTTATCCAGATGAGTGCACATGAGTCGAGGTATATTTTGATATCTAGTGTTGCTAGTCCACCTCTATTTTTTTCCTTCTGTCATATTTCTGTAATTTATTGCCCATCACAAACTTAAGGGCATCCTGCTATTGGAGGTGATGGAAAGAGGTCACATCCAGCCAGGCCCGTAGCCAGGTTTTGATTCGGGGGGGGGGGGGCGGGGCTGAGTTTGGTGGGGGGGCGAGTCTGAGTGAAAGAGGGTCTACCCTAGCAAACCTTTTGTATCATTACCCCAATACCCCCATGCATATGGGATATATTGAGTATGGTGATCAGATCATGATATGAATAAACATAACAGTTTAAATAATGCACCAGTAAGGCCTTTTTGCGAACCACCCTGAGAATTTCGGGGGGGGGGCTGAAGCCCCTCAACCCCCCCCCCCCCCGGCTACATGCCTGCATCCAGCTCAGTCCTCACAAATCAAAAATGATGTTATCTTTACATCATCATTATTTTTTGTAAAGAGATTATTGTTGTTGTTTATGTTTATTTATATTTATCTCTCCTGAAGACGACTCAGTATTTTGATGTTATACTTTAAGAGTAGCAAAAAGAGTAGTATTTAAAAGCAGTTACTTTGATGTTACTTGAAAAGAGTATTTGGAGACATTTTACTGGAATTTGAGAGGGATTTTTCAGGATTAGTGTGATTTAGTGTGTGATTCTGAAGGCTACAAAATCAGTGAATAATGCCATGGTTTGCTGTCATGTATTACGTTGGAGGGTAAAGAAATATATAATTAATTGTTTTAAAAATGACATGTAAATTCTAAAAATACTTATTTCTAGGAACCAACAGAATTCGTTGTGACTGGGGGAAATGTGATATGAACATGATCTAGTTGGGATCATGACAGATAATTGTATTTAAATCTGTGAAAATAAGAAGACAATAAATTTGGGTGGTTATCATTGTCTCTTTGGAATGCTACAAGCCAACCAGACTCTGAATGTTGCACGGGAATAAATATATGGAGAGGAAGAAGTCTTGTTACACCTTCTAATCTAGAAAATGATAGAAATTTCATTTGAAACTAAAGTATCTTTGCACTTCCTTGGAGCTTTTGGATTAAAAAGCATACAAAAGAACAGCCCTTCTTTTATGAATAGATAAATACACCCAATTGAAGAACATCTGTTGAAACACGTTATAGTCAATATGTATAGTGTTGAATATGTGAGGTAAATTACACAAATAAATCCACAGCTTGGGAAGAATGTGTAGCATTTGAGATACGGGATGATAACACAAAGTCTTGCAACCTAAACGACTTCAGAAAGAAAATAGAGATGGGTTATTGGGGGAGGGGGAGTCAATGAAATTCCTTCCTTCCCTTGATACTCAACAAAGGGGAAGGGCCATCTACCCCATGAGCCCATCTCATGAGTGTCAGGAAATAACCTGGATGTTATGTGTGGAAGAAAGGTGGTGGTGGTGGTGGGGATAATCTGCCACACCATTCAGCTTCTACTTTGTGTGCAATGAGGTGCACGTTAAACATTTAAGCCACATGCCAGTGATGGTGGAACCTCTATGGATTTTGCCCAATTTTTAAAAGTGAAAAGAGGAATAATGTCAGTATACTTCAGCCCAACTATTCTAACATTTATGTTGGAGAATCAAGCTTTTCATTTTCTAACAGCTCTGTAAAATGGTAACTAGGGAAGCTGTGTAGAATATAAGAAGTTCTAAATACAAACTGGGACATATTTGCAAACTATCTTTACAGCTAGGCAATTGTGAACATCTCTCGGGCCCTGTTTCTCCCTGTTAAGCCTGAAAATGTACAGAAGACTAGCTGACTGCAGCTTTTTGGGCTGCTCAACTCCTGGACTTTGTTTGATATCCTAAAAATATGAGCTGTTGCAGCATTTCTCTTATAGATCAAATCAATATATGTACAAAGCACAGTGCCATGTACTGAAAAGCTTTGGATTGATTAAGCAGAGCACATGGTGACCACTTCCTGTTTTTATTAGATCTGTGTTTCTTTTTTTCAACACATTTGCTATGACCTTAGCATTCACACTTTTTCTATCCCTTTTCTCTCTATTATGTCATTGATCTTTGAGTAAACAATTTTCTTAGTAATATTTATAAGATCACATTGTCTTTTTATTTATTTTCCAGGATCCTTTAGAGCCAACAAAGACAGCATTTGTGGTCAGCTCACTGGTGCCAAATGGTGTAGCTGAACGTGGTGGTGAACTATTCCCTGGTGACCGTCTGGTCTTTGTAAATGACATATGTTTACACAATATGACTCTAGGGGAAGCTGTAGAAGTGTTGAAATCTGTGCCACCAGGGATTGTTAACCTTGGAATCTGCAAACCTTTGGTGGTAAGGCCTATTTGTCTTTTTTTCAGCCCAGCAATGCTAGCGCTTGATTCGTTGCAAGTTTGCTGTGGATCCCATTTTTGGTTATGTAGAGATGAAAAGCAATTTCTGCCCAATGGGGAGGGACATTCCCCTTCCTCTGCTTCTGCAGGAACCAGGACCAGATTAAAGTAGTTTCATCAGTTTTAGCAATACTCTAGTCTTATGTTTTCCACGTCCTGCCCCAAAACTTTTTAAACACTTAGTTGGCACAGTTACAGCTATATTGAAATATTCTGCTTAGGCCAGTCAAAAACACAAATGGTGATTAGCTTTCAAACTTCCCTGTTCTTTACACTAGTTTCATTTGTATAGAAACTTACCGAAACAAATAAGCTAAAGCTGAAGATATAAAGTTAATGTAACATAGGGATTTAAGTATATTTTTTTATCTTGCCCATATGTTTGGGTTATTGTTTCTTGCAATTCCTTTACATTATACCATATTTTCTGTGTTCTGGAATCTGTTTTTGTTGTTGTTGTTATAACTTGACTCGTATACTTCTACGTTTCTCTTCTGTTTGTTTCTAGCTCTGCCTTCCACAAGTTAGTTTCTTGTTTTCTTCATAAAGTTGTGCTTGAGTATTTTCCTGATTTATTGTTGTTTATTGCTTTTAAGGGAGAAAATAAACAACCTGAAAATGCATCTACTGTGGAAAGCAGTAGTATTACCAGAAATTCTTTATCTCAAGAACCAATCAATGATTTTGAGTCATCAATACTCCTTGAAGCTCCTAAGGTTTGTATTGATTTTTGGGGCATTACATTTAAAATGGTCTTGCAGAGAGATTTTTGAGGGTGTTGGGATGAGAACAGTGAAGATACCGCTTCAGTCAGTTCAAACTAAATTTTTCCCTTGTTGGTGTTAGTTGTGCCGTATATATAGGATACATGTTTCTGATGAGAAAGTATAATGTTTCAAGTTCCTTGGAAACATGCAAATGCAAGTTTTGTATGATTTACTCATGCTCCTTTTTGGGTCATACATAGAGTTCATTTGTAGGGCTAACAGCTGCACCTCGTTTTTCATTAATATAGCATCAAGAATGTGTTGTTGTATTCCCTTTGTCCATCAAGAAACACCACTAAAAAGGCCTTGGGATAGATCCTGCAATAGCCAAGTAATGCACAGTTCACTAGAATCTGATTTCCAAAGTAAGGAGCCAATGACACTTCCACCCAAGTAAACATCCATGGGTTTGTTTTGCAGCTTTCTACAAAGTCCATCTTCTGGATGTTAACCTGAGCTTACTTTTTTACATTGTTGTCACAAGTGTTGGTCTTCCATACAAAGTAAGGTCTTATGAGGCTGTTTCATTTTTCTCATTTTGTGAGAATTGCTTAATTAAATCAATTCTTGAGCATGTATTTGTGTTGTCTGCATGAAAGAGAGAGGAGACTATCATTTCAATGGCCCACAAGGTATTAAGGACACAAAGTGGAGAAAGCAGGAGATTTTCATATTTTTTAAGAAGAAGAATTAAAAAGCTCTTCGACATTTTAAACAGGACTTCAGAGATGCATCTTTCTCTAAAGAAGAACTTGTTGATGAACCAATCCTGAATTTGGGAAGGCAGTTTCAACTTGCTCAGAATGAAATTGATACCACTAAGGAGTCATGGGAAATGCATGAAATTTTGAAACCTGCAGTGGAGCATGTGAGTGCAGAGCGGGAGATGCTAGTGGATGAAGAGTACGAGGTGGACGAGGATTACTATGGATATATGCTATTGGATACGAACGGAATTGCACCAACTGCTGAAACAGACTTTGGAACTGCAAGGCAATGGGCAGAGGAAATGGAACCAGCAAAATCAAGTTCTCCAGTGAGCTTTAGTGCTGAAAAGGTACATAACTTTATGTTGAATAAAACCAAATGGACAACTTAATTTTACTGCAGATGGGGTATCCCATTATATATGTAATTTTGTTAATTCTAGGGTGAACACCAATACTGAAATAATATGAGAACATTCAAATGGGGAAAAACTAGCATAGTGTTCAAAGCATAATTAAAATAATAACTGACTTTAGAAAGAAGAGTCCCCTAAGTGGATATTTTCATAACCCAGAGTTATTGAATTAAGTCTTGTTTCAGCCTTTTTCCAACAGTACATGGCATGTTAGTGCTGATCAGTTTTTAAATGCTGATGTTTTTTGTTTTGTTTTTCCTTAAGACTGAAGAAAGAACTTGTACCAGTTCAACAATCCCTGGAGATTCAGTAGAGTACAGCCAGCCAAATGCAACACTGGAAGGTAAGTGAGTGAGTTGTCAGCAAAAGAAGTCCACTCTCAAATCAACTCTATTTAGTTTTTATATTTTGTTTGTTAAATAGGACGAATATAAGATCAATTAACCATGGATAGTTGAAGATTTTTGTCAGCTGCCCTGAAGTAACTGTCACACTCTTCTTGTGTTTCTGCACGCTTAATTTTATCTTCTTTTCATTCTTTCTCTCACGCTTTCTTCTTCTTTGTTTTTACACCTTTCTTACCTTAAAAAATTATATATTTTGTTGTTATTTCCACCAGTTTAAGTAGTAAACATTCAACAACTTTGGGAGGAAATTAAATAAAATTATTCAAAAATATGTCTTCAGTTCATGATAGAAAATAACATGGTGGACAATTAGTAGGGGTTTTTTGTGTGTCAGGAGCGACTTGAAAAACTGCAAATTACTTCTGGTGTGAGAGAATTGGCTATCTGCAAGGACATTGCCCAGGGGACGCCCGGATGTTTTACCATCCTGTGGGAGGCTTCTCTAACGTCCCAACACGAGAAGCTGGAGCTGACAGATGGGAGCTCCCCCACTTCCCAGATTCAAAAAGCCGACCTTTCGGTCAGCAGTCCTGCCGGCACAAGGGTTTAATCCATTGCACCACTGGGGCTCCAATCAGTAGGTGACTCTGTCATGTTTCAATTGGAATTGTTTAAAGAATTTGTAAAAAAAAGGGGGGGGATTTGTTGGAGATATTGGTGTAATAAACAAAGAAGTGGAGTCTGGATATATGGGAATAGTGGGGACAGGCCGGGGAAACACAAGCTATAAATCACAGCCAAATAGCTTCACCAACTTCTTAACATTGAACTGGCATACACTATTTTGCTTCTTGTGCATTGAGTACTCATTTCCAAACTTTGGTAAAGCATTATATTAAAAGGACAGTTTGAGAGAGGGTGTACTTGTGTTTTACACAGCTGCATTCGAACTTGGCAATAAGCATAACCAAAATTGCCAGATACTTTCTCTCCAATAGCTTTTCAATAGCGTGATGTTGTATTGGATTTAGCTGTAGGAATAACAAATCAGAAAATAACACTTCAACAAACAGAGAGAGTTTTTATGTGTCCCAGTGTAAATATAGACATTAAACCATGTTTTAGGGAATTCTATGTTTTACAGCAGCTTGCTGGCTAGTTGAACCGCTCAGAAAGATTAGTTGATATGAATAGCTATGAATAATAGAAATCCCTCAAAATATTATAAGAAAGCCTAAGAACAAGAGAAATTTCTTCTTAAAAATGATGTTTCTGGAATAGAGAAACCACCCATAACTGGGCAATGGATAAGATGGTGTTCTGGGACCCAGTCTTAAAAGTAACTTCCCAAGCTATAATTGACATTTTAAAATATGTCACAGAGGTATAACGGTTATGCTTTATGAGACTGTTATTTAACATGAGTCCTTTTCTCCCAACAATGTCTAAAATATGTGTTATTGCTGCTTTCCCCTTGAACTTACACTCATAAAGCTATCTGCATTCTTTGCTTGACTAGCATTTCCCTTTCCTAGACAGTTATTTACATCAAAGTCTCAGCATGATGGAACAGTAACTCATGTTTTATTATAAGGTGCCAAGATACAAAATGACCATGAAGATCTTTTATGCATTGATGATGATACTGAAAGAAATAAACTGTGGACTGAAGAGTTTGAAATCTCCCTCACTAAGGATTCTGCCTTCCTCAGCGCGGAGCCATCAAGGTAAAAGAGTGTTCAGGTTTTGTTTTTGTTTTTTAAGAAAAGGCTTTGTTCATTTTCTTCATCTGAACTGAGTTGTCAAGTTACATTCTTTTCCCCAATCATTAAGGGTGGAAAACATGATCTGTTCCCTTTCTTTTGCATCTCAATCACAAAGATAAAAGTAAGATACATATAAATATTAATCATACTCATTTGTTGAGTCCTCTTACTATCAACTGCACAATTTTCATACTTCTTGATAAAGATAATCCATTTTGCTAATATCTATTGCAGATAAACACAAGTAGTAAGTAGTAGTGGAAATAGCTATTTGGATATTTCCTTGGGAATGGCATGGTTATTTGCATAGCTCTGAATTATGTTACTGTTGTGGTTATAGAAAAATGAAGAAGGAACCTAATATTTTATTAAATTGATATCTAAAAAACACCATTTCGACTTTACAAAACCATCAACTTTCTATACTTATAGAGATGGGTCATCTTAATTAACAGAAGCACAATATTTACAGAACATTTCTTTTAAACTGGTGTTTCAACTTCAATATATGTTTACTAGAGAGGGTTCATCTACATGTACACCAAAATCTGGGAAAGCGGAAATGCTCTCAATGAGCCCCACATTTTGGTGTACATGTAGGTGAATGCTCTGGGCTGTTCCTGGATGCCCCAGAACTATTCAGCCACTCCAGCATGACCTGTGGCAGTGGTGCAGGTGGAGTCCAGATACTCCCATTGGGCTGAAACCTTCACTTCTTTTGTCCCTGGCTCTCTGCCAGCTGCCACAGCAACAAAAGTAACATAGCTTCTATCCATCCCCTTTTGCCTTTGCCCCTGAGTTCATGTGGACAACAGACTGGTTCTTTTTGGAGCTGATCTGCTGTCCACACTCACCCCAAAGTTTGAGGCTACTCTGGAGTGTCACCAAAACCTTGGAGCATTCCCCAACTTTATATAATGTAAGGCCAAACTGGACATCCGACATCCGCGTTCAATGCAGGGTTTTGGATCAGTGTAGATAAGTCTTGAAAAATACACAAATTTGATGTCTATAGTCTACATTGCATTAGACAGCTAGACATTTTATAGCTTGTATTGGCAGCTGAAATGTATTTCTATTTTGTTTAGTGAATTGCCAGAGAGAGAAGAAGGAGAAGGAGAAGAAACACCAGTTTTCAGCCACTGGGGAACTCCTCAAACGTAAGTTGATAAATCTTTCAATATTATCCTGCTTTCAAATGATTTGAGGCCCTTGAGCAAGAAATATTTATGGTACATGCCTGTCTTGCTTTTCATCTTTTGCTGAAGGCTGTTTGCTCTGCCATTTATTTTATACCATTCTAGAATAGATTTTGCTATATACTGCCAATACAATTAATGCTTAGCAGATGTCCTGCTGAAAAAGCCTATATCAATTCTGTTGCTCTTTTGTATGTGCTAGTTATTCACTGCATTAAAGCTATTCAATTAAATGATCTTGATTCACCTACACATTCCTCAGCTTGTATAGTATGTTACTAGCATCTCTCACAAGTAGGACAATGTCTTAAACTTTATTTCAGAGTGTATTTGTGTATAGATATGTAAGTCGGTAGGTAGGTAGATCTTTAAAACGTATATATGGTAGAAATGTAGTGAGCAGGGACACAACTTATTGTAGATACCCCCAAAGCAAATATTCCATGGCAAATCTGAGTTTCTTTCTGTGTAATGAGTGCAAAGGCCTAATATCAATGGCTGGTAGCAATCGTTTTCTAAAAGAAATCTAGGTCCAGAAATATTTAAATCAAATTAAATATGTTCATTTACTAACTGGAAGAAAGAAGAGACACATAATTATTCATGTAGTGATATGTAATTTTTTTTATTCCGTACACTAAATATGCACAATTTAATAATTATTGCTCTATTAATTTTAATACAGATACTAATTCATAACCAAAGTAATAAACATTTGGAATGAAAAAAGAAAATAACAAAACAAGAATATATATATGCATATATCACACACACACATGCACATGCACAGACGCACACACACGTATACACACACATGCATACAGGCAGTCCCCAAGTTATGAACAAGATAGGTTCTGTAGATTTGTTCTTAAGTTGCATTTGTTTGTACGTTGGAACAGGTAGATTTCTTAAGTGTAACTCCAGTCAAAATATATATTCTTTATCTTTTGAAAGCATAGGGAAGGGTTAACACGCCTGTGGTGTTTGGTTTTTTGCCTGTCTCCCTGTTCAGAAGATTTCACCCCACTTTCTGTCCCTGTGACAATTAGCTTTTGAAAAAAATGGCTTTTTTATTTACAAAAAAGATTAGTGATGAAGCTTCTGTGGAGACACCTTTTTCCCAAGATAACTTTTTCAGAAGTGAATTTTTCTCCAGAAGGGCAAATTTATCTTCCCCATTCTTAACTGTGAGTTGTTTGTAAGTTTGTCATTCGAGGAGTGCCTGTATATGATTAAAACTAAATTAAATTTAAACTATAACACTACACTATGATCAAAAAATCAAAATAACTCTGACCCACAATCCAAACTGAAATGAAAAATACAAATGTCAATACATTATTCTATCATTAAGATCCAGCTAAATTAAATTTACTAGAATTACTAGTGTCCATAATCACAGATTTGTATAATGGTAAATTTCTTATTTCTCAAAAAGTCCATAAGCAGCTTTTTTATTTAAAAAATAAATTACTTTATCCTTTAAGATCCAAATTAGTTTTGTAATCTGGACAAATGCAGCAAGCTGAATAATTCTTCTGCTGCGTTTTAGTCTATTTCTAAATTTGAGCAAACAATATTCTCTTAACTTGTTATCACATATGGAAAAAGGAATCCACATTTGTAATTTAATCATTTATGTATAATACCTGTCAAAAACATTTGTGGTGACATTGAAAAATCTACCTTTAATTTTTTAAATCTTGTAAACATTTCAATCTTAGCTCAATAGATTCTGCCTTCTTTCACGTCCATCACATATGAAAAAAGATCTTTCAATTTCCAGACAATCCCAAATATTGATAGAAGGATTCATAGACATTTCTGACATCTGATTAGGAGTTAGATACTGTCTGTACATGCTTTTTTAAAAATTACTACACAAAGGAAATTCTGTATCTATAGTTCACCATTTCCCCATACATGCATTTGAACACCCAAATGCCTTTCGGTCATAGGAGGGGATTAATAAGGTGCCATATCCAACCTAGAAGGTCATGTCCTAAATTTTCAAATTTGAGGTGATTACCTATCTGGGAAACTTGCTGAAAAAGAAATGTGCAGGAAAAGTGCAATACTGTAGACTTGAGGTTCCTACACATATGTACCTCTACCTAGGACTCATTTTATTTAGCCCATATTAGAAATTTAGATGGATTAAACATATTAGAAACCTGCTGAGATGGAGGTAATAATTGGTACATGGTTATGAATAGATACTAACTCAGTGAAGAGGAATAGGAAAATCATGGTTGGCACTGTGGTGCTCTATATGTGAAGTAGGATGCTAACCTTATATATATGTTTGTATATGTATGTGTATGCTGTATGTTTTAAAATCTAAGAGGAAAGAGATTGACCTCTTGGTCTGATCCATCTTATATATTTCTTATGGTAAAATGTGTCAATATCTAACCATTGCCTCTAGGTAAATTCAGTTGTCATTTTCATCTAGGCCTTTTGCATACATAGAATTGATGGTATTTGTAGACCTTTCATGGATTCTAATGGAAACATTAGATATGTGACTGTTTTGTTTTCCATAAGAAGTATAGATTTTCTTTGTGTCATCTTGACTAGGCTGCAACATATAAATTGCTTCTCGTTTTAAAAAGGTTTATGCTATATCAGAAAAAGAGTGTTACATTTTGAATATTATCAGGACCACAGAATTAAAGGCACACTTGCCATTTTTGAAATATTGTGATTCTCTCTGCAGTGTTGAAATTTTCCGAGACCCCCATGAGTCTCTTGGTATCAGTATTGTAGGTGGCCACACAGTTATAAAGCGCTTAAAGAATGGTGAAGAGCTTAAGGGCATCTTTATCAAACAAGTCTTGGAAGACAGCCCAGCAGGAAGAACAAAAGCATTGAAAACTGGAGATAAAATACTTGAGGTAAGTACCTGTAATTTTAAATAGAATATATCTTTCTTAAACTAAATGAATGTAGCATCGTATTTTGAAATGGAACCAGTTGACTTTAACTCACATTCAGATGACTTTAGTCCTCAAGTGTCAGATTTCAATTGCAAAAACTGCATAAAATTAAAGTACAAGGTAGGCTGTGGTTTTGCAAACCTGTGTCCCAAATTATAGCTGTTGGCCACATAATGATTGCCTCCCCACATACACACACACACAAACTGTACAAAATTGTCCCAACCAACCTATTGGCTGTACTTAGCACAGCAGGCTAAACCGCTATGCTGCAGAAAAATCTTGCCAGCAGGTCAGCAGTTTGAACCCAAGTCTGTGTGAGCACTCACCATTAGTCCCAGCTCACCTGCCCACCTAGCAGAAAAGCGAGTAGATAAAATAGGTTCCGCTTTTAGCAAGTAGGTAATAAAGGCACCCTTAAGGACATTGGTCAGAAGAAAGCTCCTCGGCATGGAAGATGGAGTGACATGTAGTACTGAATGCTTCGAGTGAGTTAAGCAAATGAACAAATTGTTATCAAACCCAATGCAACAGCTACCATATATTTAATATTATTTTTGAGAGACAAACAAATTTGGTTTCACAGATCATGTTATGCTCATGCTGGTAAAGACCCATGTTTTAAAGACACATGGTGTATATATTTCATAGATAAAACTCTCAGAGTTTTTTTAAGGTAGGTTTTTTTCAAGTGCTGAATTCTACAGGTTGAGAGCTTCTGCAAAAATCTCATACTGTGAGAAGAATAGAAAATCTAAATGGGTTCATTGCTCTGCAGGTGTCTGGTGTAGACCTACAAAATGCTACTCATGAAGAAGCTGTAGAAGCTATCAAAAATGCAGACAATCCCATTGTTTTTGTTGTTCAGAGTCTGTCTACTCTTCCAAGGGTGAGTCACCTTTTATTTTTAATTCCCTAATCCAGCTACTAATATAGCATGCTGTTTCTTTGAGAATTTAAAGGGATTTAAAAGAAAAGCAATTTGTCTCCTGAAGGTATTGCTTGCTAATGAAAAAGAAAGCTACATGATGTATTTCACTTAATTGGTTCACATCTCATCTTGACTTAGAACCATAGGGTTCAAGACAGCAAATGACATTCAAGACAAGTTCAAGAACGACAACATCAGAATTAAAATTAATTCAGGCCTGTTACCTTCTGACAGCTAAGAACAATAGGCCTAAACTTGGGAAGGTCTTGAGGGCATGGTCTTGTGGACTTCATTTCCCATCAGATTTAGCCATTATGACTGGTGAGCAGGGACTAAAGAAATACAGTCATCCTTAGACTTGTGCATGGATTCAGAGTGGTCAGTTCCCTACATCCATTCTGGCTTGTTTGGCTTGACCGAATGGCTGTAATGGCAAGGGCCCAGCCATCACATTTTTCCCATCTATAAGGGGACCACTTGGCAGCCAATCTCGGCTCCTCCTCCCCTATTCGGCATCGCTGTTGCATTCAGGCTTCAGTGTAATTTTGGCTTGTCGTCTCTCTTTTTGATTTTCCTTTATTTTATTGATTCTTTTTATTTAGTGGCACTGATTGAGAGTTGGGAACGTGCGGGACGGGTGGGTGGGGTGTGCACATGTTTGGGGACTTAGAGAGTCACCCCTTTAACTTCTTTTTCTCCTCCCCTCCTTCAGAAAATACTTCTAAATTATAATAATAATTATTATTAATAATAGTAATCCCAGCAAACAAAAAGAAAAGCCTCATTCTCTGAAAACTACTACCACCTAGTTATCTCTCCTCTAGAGTAGAAAGTAAAACAGCTTTAACAGCATTAAACCTGAAGTAGAAAGGCATGGGGGGGGGGAGGCACCACTCCAGGCAGGGCCTGCAATGCAAATCAAGAGGAAATAGAGGGCTTTTAAAAGGAAGCCCAGGGTAGGATAGCTCCAGGTCATCGCTCTTTCTTCCATGGGAAATGGGAAACCTCTTTAAAATGCCTTGGAAAGCTGCATGATGGGAGTGATTGCACGTGCCTGCAGCTGTTGCACTTCAGCAGGAGTTCACCTTGCTCACAGGACTTACCAAGAAACCAAATGTGGTAATAAACAGTTTATTGATAAAACACACATAAAAAGGGTCAAAGGCACCTTAAACAAATAGAAGGGTGAAATCCAAGAGTGAATAAGAAGCAAGCCCCGAAGGCAATAGATAAATCCAGAAAACAATGGTTAAAACGTGAACATTAATCCAGGAAACAAGGGACATGACCATGAATCCAAAGGTAAATCTATAAAACAAGGAGCAAAACTTGACCAGGAATCTTGGGTCTTGATCTAAGGCATGAACCAGGGATGAGACAGGAGTTCCTTACTCCAATAGTGACATTGCTTGATCTAAAGTCCTCACAGCTCTCTCCATAATTTAAGGACTGTAAAACATGAACACATTCCTTTGACTCACGAGCTTTACTACACTTGAATCTCTGCCCCCGCAGAAGCAGCCTGGTATCTCTGTCTAAGCCAGCTGCTTCTTCGGATAAGCTAATGATATCCTCCCATTCTGGCTTGTTGGCTTCCAAAAGAGTTTCACCCTCACACTCTGTCTCAACAGCAGTATCTTGCTCCAAAACCCCCTCCGTTCCCTCAGCTGGAGAACCATCTTGCTCTAAAGGTCCTGAACCCCCAAACCCCGCATCTTCATCTGGTTGAACCACAACAGCGGTGCCTGTCTCCTGTAGAGCAGAAATAGCTTTAACGAAGCATTAAACCCAGCTCTCCTCTGTAGACCAAAGGGAAAGGATCACAGAAAGAGTGGTATATTAACACTGATGCTTTTAAATCCAGGTCTTAATAGAGGATATAAGGACAAACAATGCAATTGCCTAAAATGACAGGAAGGGGAGCCTGGGGAGCCCATTGCCATAAATGGGCAGATCTAGCTGTATTTTCTGGCTGTGGTACAAAAAAGGGCTATCTGGTTACTCACCTGTTCTTGGGAAGCATGCAAAAACAGCCAGCAGAAACTGATCAGGGTTCAGCCAAAATGTACAAGCCTAGTTCCACGTTTGCATTTTGATTTTTTCAGATTTGATTATTCACAGGTTTGATTAAAAAGGTTCACTCTGGGAATCTAAGTCTCCAATGTGACTCTGTGGTCAATTTCCTCCATTCATGCTGGAGGACCTAGAGATTTCTAGAGATAACACCACTATAGGAATCTCAAGGTGATCCAGTGGAATTCTATAAGTTTATAGTGGAAGTTGACCAGATAGTCATGCCTGAAGACTTAGAAATTACTAGGCTTTCCAGCATGACTTTTAAAATTTGGGTTAAAAAAATAGCATTATTTTAAATCTTGATTTTTTACTTTCACAGAGGCCCTGTGCCCCTATCCCCAGCAAACATAGAGGGCTAAATGTTGCAGAGCTTTAGGGCAGTCAATAGAAGTATCTGTCTATGTTCTTGATATAGAGATTTGTCAGATTGCCATGTAACCATCCCATTCAATATAATATTAGGCTGTGTTTGGGGTGTCAACAGACTGAAAGGAGCACCACAATTCTCAGAAGTATCAAAATGTTTGAACATTAAGAGAGAGGAACCCCAGATATTTCTATGTTCATTCAATAACAATGGAATGTTGATTTATAGAGAAATTCAGTAATGGAACAGAGATTTTTATTGTTCTGTTTGAGATCTTACTTGTACATAAAGGTTTTTTTTTTGTTAGGTATAGCATAAAAATACATTTCTTTGTATTCCACAGATGGTTTGTATAGGAAATCCTAAGAAAAGTAAGGATGACAAGGAACAAGACACAACAGGAGAAGCTACACAGGTATTATAAATGTAATCACCTGACTTCCAAAATCAGATTTAATTATCTATTTATAACATTTGTCATTTCAAAATACAAGAAATCCCTTTAAAAGAAAGAACAAAAATAATATCTGCTGGGTTTTTTTGTAGGTTTTCTAGCATTTTATAAGTCAAATAAAAACTATATCATAGAATCAGGGCTGGCCCTAGGTAATTTTCAAGTGTAAGCACACAGTATTTTGGCATCCCCCCCCCCCCTCCAAACCAATCACTGAAAAATAAAAGGTAGAGATTCCACCTAAGGAATATGCTGCTGCCTTGGAAGGGCGCCTCTAGAGCAGGTCTGGGCCAACTTAAGACCTCCAGCAGCCTTGACAGATGGCCATCCAGCTTCTGTTTATAAGCTTCCAAGGAAGGAGCTTCCTTATATTAATATATATGCCCTTTTGTATGTGTGTGTATACACACACACATATCTACATACGTAATATGTGTACTACAGTAGACTCTCAGTTAACTGGCATCCATGGAAATGGTTAAATGCTGGATGACTGTGCTTTCTAAGGGCTTGAGAGCAACAATTAAAAATAGACCTTATTCTATATCATACCATAAACTCTGTATTGACTTGATATTAATATTGAAATACAGTAATTAAAAGCAAATAAAGACAAATTTAACTTAATGCAACACATTATGTAATGTAACTTTTAATGGAATGTTTTAGTTTTTTATAAAAACTGATTTTACTGCATTCTAAAAATTGATTTAATTTTAATTTTTCATTAAAGTTGTATTTTTGTTGGGGGGTATTTTTGCCAGTTGCTTTGAGAGCTCTAGTTGCCTGAGTTTGGTGGACTGAGAGTCTACTGTGTAGACACAGACACAATATAATGCATAAAGGTATAGGTTTCCCCTTGACATTAAGTCTAGTCGTCTCTGATTCTGGGGGGTGGTGCTCACCTCCATTTCTAAGCTCAAGAGCCGGGGTTGTCCGTAGACACCTCCATGTTCATGTAGCTGCATGGAGCGCCATTACCTTCCTGCCAGAGCGGTACCTATTGATCTACTCACATTTGCATGTTTTCGAACTGCTAGGTTGACAGAAGCTGGGACCAACAGCGGGAGCTCATGCCTCTCCCTGGATTCGAACTTGTTACCTTTCGGTTAATGAGATTAGCAGCTCAGCAGTTAATCCACTGCGCCACATATTATAATGCACTAATAATATTTATTATTAGTGTGTATAATACATATACAAACTAATATACTAGGAATTTACATACCCATACCATGTATTATATATAACACATATGACCTTGAAGGTGTCTACAGACAACGCCGGCTCTTCGGCTTAGAAATTGAGATGAGCACCAACCCCCAGAGTTGGACATGACTGGACTTAATGTCAGGGGAAAACCTTTACCTTTATCTTACCATGTGTATAACATTAAAAAGAAACACTCCTTTCGCCACAGAAAACCCTGGCTTCCATATACACCAGGCATGGGCAAACTTGGGCCCTCCCTCCATGGGTTTTGGACTCCAACTCCCACCATTCCTAACAGCCTCAGGCCCCCTTTCCCCCTCAGTCGCTTATATGTTTTTTTAAAGGTCTAATGTATTCATTTTATAATTCTATTTTAAATGTTATTTTTAGTTGCATATTTTGGAGCCATTGAATGGCTGTCTGGCTATAAAACCACCTTGAGCCGCCTCCGGGTTGGAGAAAGACGGGCTAGAAATGTCGTAAATAAATAAATAAATAATCCTACCACTTGAATTTTTTTATTAAATAAAAAGATTTAATATCTACGGCAAAGTAAGATAGTGGGTAGAAGTTGCCTTCTCACAACCTGAATTTTAGGTCTAGTGCGTTAGAGAAATAATGTTTCTGTTGGAAATAATAAGCAGGTAAATACTTTTAATTATGTTTCCCCTTACTTCTTGTTCTATAATTTTGCAGGAACAGAGATGGCTCCTGGAAATTGGTAAATTAGATATGCTGAAGGAGCCAGTCTCAGTTGATTAATTAGCTCACCTAATTTACATAATATAAGGATTATGCCTCAGATTTATACTGTGAATATAATAACTCCAGTAATAAGGTGGTAATCTTATTTTCGGTCTCTGTATTTCATAATTTGTTTTTTTTAATGCACTCACATAGATTCTAGGCCTTTAGATTTTTTAGTTCAAGAACTTAGCACCTAATCCATATGTCAGATAGGAAAGATATCTCTTTCATGCTGCTATAACACCAAAAATAGCTGGCTCGGCTCAGCTTGTGCGTCTTTTCATGTAGGCTGTCAAAGTATAAAAGAAAACATAACATTTTAAGACACACCATGCATATACACCAGCGATGGACTTTTCCCCTGAGAGTCAGAGGTGTATTAAAGAGCCAGAAGAACTGAGTGCCTAGAGGGTGCGTTTCAATCTGGGTGATTACCACTGCTAATTACTCACTAGCGATTTCTTCCTTTCTCCTCTCCTCTCCTCTCCACTTCTCTCTCTTTTTCTCTATCCCTATATTAATCTCTCTTTCAGGGGGTTAAACTCTTTTGCGAGCTGAACTGGTGACCTGAAGTTCAGCAGTTTGAATCCATGAGATGGGGTGAGCTCCTGTCTGTCAGCTCCAGCTTCCCTTGTGGGGACATGAGAGGGGGCTAACACATCCGGGCGTCCCCTGGGCAACAGATAGCCAATTCTCTCACACCAGAAGCAACTTGCAGTTTCTCAAATTGTTCTGACATGATAAAAATATCTCTCTCTTTCTATTTTCTGTGTGATGTACTTGAATCATAAAGGTTAGGATGGTTGCTCCCAGGCTGTGGAATTCCTTTCCAAGGTTGCTTAGGGCAGATGTTTTATTCAGCCAGTCTATGAGCAACCACCTCACTAAATGCTAAGGAAAGGACTTTTATGCATTTTAATTCATGTATTTTTGAAATGGCTTCCATTTCAGTTATGTTTTAATGCTAGAATGTTTTAAAATATTGCAACTTATCTTGGTATGTTGTGCACTTGTAAACTAGCATGTTGTCTTGAGATCCCACTATGGCAGAAATAAATAAGGAAATAAATAGGGCATATTGTAATTAAATATTTACTGAATCAGAGACTGATTTATTTGTTAGCCTTAATGTAATCCATTGAATAAATGGAATTTACATATATGTTAGCTTGCCCAATTTTAATTTATGTGTCTACTTTCATTGGGACTAATACAATATTTACTCAAATCTAATGCTCAGCTTTTTTGGGTAAACTACCTCACCAAAATTAGGGTGTGCATTAGATTCATGTAATGCAGTAATCTTAGTGCTGAGTACATCAAGGAAGGATATGAGAAAGGGTGCATTACTGGAACAGTTTTGGTCGACCTTACAGCAGCCTATGACACGGTGCAACATAGGAAAATGCTACAGAAAGTCTACCATATTACCTGAGACTATGATTTTACAAAAACTATCCAGACTCTCTTAGAAAACCGTAGCTTCTATGTGGAGTTTCAAGGCAGGAAAAGTAGATGGAGGAGGCAAAAGAATGTTTTATCCCAAGGCAGCGTTCTTGCACCGACCTTGTTTAATATCTTTACTAACGATCAGCCACAATCACCACTCACAAAGAGCTTTATATATGCTGATGACCTTGGCCTAACAACACAAGCAAAAGACTTTGAAACAGTTAAAATCCAACTTACTAATGCCTTGAAAGATCTCTCCAGCTATTACAAAGATAACCACCTGATTCCTAACCCTGCCAAGACACAAGTGTGTGCTTTCTACCTATGCAACCATGAAGCCAACAGGAAATTGAGTCACCTGGGAAGGTCAAGAGCTTGAACATTGTTTCCATCCTAAATATCTCGGTGTCACCTTAGATTGAACACTAGCATATAGGAAACACTTCTTGAACACCAAGCACAGAGTAGCTGCACGCTATAACATCCTGCAGAAACTTACTGGCAGCACATGGGCTGCAGACCCAAAATTAATAAGAACATCAGCCCTAGCCTTGTCTTACTCTACTGCCGAGTATGCCTGCCCTGTTTGACATAAGTCTGCCCGTGCAAAGCAGGTGAACATAGCATTGAATGAAACATGCAGAATAATCACAGGATGCCTTAAACTGACACCTGTTGATAAACTCTACAAGCTAGCTGGCATTCCCCCCCCCCCAATGTGCTGCTACATGTGAGAGAAATAAGGTTGAACACTGTGAAAGCCATCCACTACATGACTACTAGCCTCCTCCCAGAAGACTCAAATCAAGGAAAAGCTTCATGAGAACTATCACTCCTCTTGGTGCTCCTGCCCCAGCAACAGCAAGGGTATCACTCTGGGCAGCTAAATCAGGAAATCCCAACTGGATGGCCCCCCATGAGGGTTTTCCTCCAGGGGCAAACCAAGAATGGGCAACTTGGAAGTCCCTGAACAGACTCAGAAGTGAAATGGGCAGATCAAAAGACAACCTGGCAAAATGGCACTACCTAAAAGAATCCCACACATTATGTGACTGTGGAGCAGAACAGACAACTCTGCATCTGTATGCTTGTCCACTATGCCCTCATGTACAGAGGAAGAATTATTGAAGGCTACAGACAATGCCATTGCTATTGCCCATTTTTGGTCAAAAGATATTTAGCCACCTGCGCTCCTTCTATTTTTATCAGTTTTATACTAATTTATGCAATTATACAAAATAAAAAATAAGTGCTGAGCCAAAGCAAAAGGGAAAGTTTCTACAGGAGTGCCTGGAGCTCTTATTTGGGGGACGTCACCTCAAATTTAATTGCCATGGCTCAATGCTATACAATCATAGGATTTGTAGTTTGGGAGCCACCAGAATTCTTTGGCAGAAAAAGTTTAAGACCTTGTCAAACCACATGATTTCATAACATTGAGCCAGGGCAGTTGAAGTGTATTCATTGAACAGCATGGATGCACCCCAAGGTTTTCTTTTCCATTGGTGGAAGCTTTGATATTCTAATACTTTTGTTTTTAAAGAAGGAAT